CCAGACACTAAAAACATGGGGTTTCCCTGCAAGTGAAATCCATCTGAACGAATAAAAAATATATATTCACCCGAGGATCGAATATTATTTGGGATCACTATTAGAGCTAAAGGAGACTGCGACTAAATAGAAGGCCACACCATCTTGGCCTTCATATATACGATTATTTGGGATGGTTGGAACTGACAGGAACAAGAGTTGTGTAAGGCATCAGGCAAATTGAGTGTAACCGATTAAAGACAAGACAATTTTGAACCGTAGATAGGATAAAGAAATGAAAGAGTGAATATATAAGTCAGAAAATGGAAATTAAAATGCGCATTCCGTTTGGCTTTGGTGTAATATGCGAACAGTTTGAAGAGATAAACATAAAGAGGCGATACTAAGAATAATTTCCCCGAATTTATAGCATAGTTAGCAAAATAACCGAATGAGCCACTGGTCAGTGACAAATAATGGGAGTTGAACCTTTTGGTTGTTGCTGGTGCATAGTTGGGTCGTTTGAATTCCCGTTAAATTTCATCCATATGAAGTCCGTCCCATTGTCAGGCCCTTAAGATATTCTATTCTACGTAATATTGTGATTTGCGATTCTTAACAGTTAATGAGAAATAAAATAGATAAAAAGTTAAGAAGTTTAAGGGAAGGTACCAGCTAAGGGAGAACAATGATGGGGTTACTTTGGATTTAAGGAGCAAAACACATCTCTACTTAAAATATCCTAATAATATAAAAAAGTAAAAAAAATAGCACATGTATATTTAATTACCGGGTTCAGTTACAAAATTAACAATGCTCTTTCCAGTGTCAAACTGTCGATAGTAGGTCAATCGCAAATTCGAATAGATAAACAATGAGATTATTGATTGAAGGTATGAAGACCAAGATGGTTTGTCCTTTTGCATTGTCGCGGTCCCCTTTCGTTGTGTATTAATTTGACATTGTTTTCACAACTTGGTCGTACTGGCATTAAGACCTAGAGGAATGCACCTTATCCGGAGTCCACAGTATGCATGATAATTTCCAGTCGGGCCGTAGACTTGGCACAGTACCAGAGACAAGTCTCTTTGACAAATTGTAATGCGGTGATGAGAATGGCAAGGTTCACCGACGATAAAGACTACGATGCCGGCGAAACGTCTGGGAATGTACCACGTCCATGGTCCGATTCACGAAATTATCATGCATGCTATGGACTCCGGACTGGGTGCGTTCCTCTAGGTCTTCCTACCAATATGACAAAGTTTAGAAAACAAGGTCAAACAACGTGTATATAACGAAAGGAGACCGCGACCATACAAAAAAATAACACCATGTTGGTCTTCCTACCTTCGATTAAACTATGGTTTAAGTTAGTTGATACATGAAGCGTACAGAAGAGCTGATGGTTCTGATTGACCCGATTTTCCAGCAAATAAACGTTGCCGCATCTTTCCAGTTGAAAGTGTTAAGGTTGCCTCCGATGGAACCTATTTTGTGGCTAAAATAGAAACAGCAATTTGGACAAATTCTTCATTCAGATCATTTGGCTTTAATTGCGAAAGGTAGATTAGCAATAGTGGGACTTTTATTGAAGTTTAGGTGAACACTACAACCGCATTTATTTAATCATAAATGCATTTATTGTGGTTGCCATTTAGACTAAATGGGTGTCTCTTCGATGCTTTAAACGGTATGGCTCCCACTATTGCCGTTGAAAAATGGCGGTGCGGAGTAAGGACAGATTTCTACAAAGTTAGCGCCACTTACCAGAGTCACATGACTGCGACGCATCATTTTCACCTTCTCCTCAGTATAAGGCGAGAAATTCTGGTTTGCCTGATGCAGGGTCAAAATGGTTTCGTAGAGGCCGAGCGGGTCTGAGGGAGGCTGTGAGCAGACGCCATTACTCAAAGGTACGAACATTCCCACCCCCGTGGCGGCAATGCCGAGACCGGCGTCTAGACCACCTGAAATCGGATGGGCAGTCGCGCTGGGATTCGTTTGGCCCAGATGGCCAAGGCTGGAATCTGGCATGTCGCCCGAGGAAGTGCTGGTTATGCTGCCTCCTCCACCGCTACCACCGGTACCGGTACCAGCAGCCGCCGCCGCTGCGGTAGCACCCGCTGCAGCCGTTGCGCCCGGTGTCGGCGTCGCCATGCAGTTGACGGGCGCAACGGGTGACACGCCTGGAGGAGCAACCACGGCTCCCGGGTCCGAGCTGCGCGAGCGCCGCGGCATTCGACCATATCTGACGCTATCTTTGGACATACCAACGGCCAAGCACTTTTTGAACCGGCAGAACTGGCACCTGTTCCGGTTGAGCCGGATTACGAGACATTTGCCCTCACGCAGGCACTTGTATTCTATCTGCTTCTGAATGCTGCGTCGGAAGAAGCCCTGTAATTGGCAAAGTCGGGGAGAAGAGTTGGTTGAATGCAAGGAAAAAGATAAAGTGGCATCGGAACGTCGAAGAATGATGCTCTCTCAAGATGCAACCTATCCTCTACTAGAGATGGTGTCATGACCAGTTGATCCTTTAAAATGATTGACACAGCGACTAGTACCCATTGGCGCATATTATATTTTATTTAAAGGAGTAATCTAACAGACATCAAATTAATAAAATTCTAAGAAAGAGCTGACATCACCTTTGCACATTGAGAATTGGCAGAGACGCTGATGCTGGATTGAGTAAAAAGAAATATGTTTGTTTCATAAGCAGGTTTTCGAAACTACCATTAGACCTTACCGCGCTCATTTCAAAAACTCGGTTTTTGTACGATGCGGCGAGGCCCTTTCCGCCTCTGTTCCGACAACTTGCTGTAGTCGAATTGTGAATTGTGACGAATTGTGAACAGTAATGAGGAATAAGAGGAAACTGGCAAAAAACGCAAATATAGACAGAAAACGAAGATGGTGGTCTAGTGGTCTAGTGACAGAAATATTGAAAAAATGAACAGGATAAGAGGTCCCTAGACCGTCATGAGCACCACTGTCTGAAGTTGTCGATTCGACTAAAGACTCTAAGACGGCATTCGAGGCAGTGTGTAAAGCTCAAAATCTGGCTTCGCAAGAGTCGAAAAGACATTCATTTGATAGGCTGAAGCATACCGACAAGTCGGCAGAACACACAGAATGGAGGGCCCTCGAAGGTGACAAAGAGTTCACACCTTTTGGGTAAACCAAACATGAGATGACACGTAATGGTGGGTCAGATCAGAACTGATGAGGGCTTTGAACACAGATACACATAAATGAATCGTTGCGGAAGAATTACGAGCGCCGAGGCACAAAGTGTTACCTTGATCCACTCGGTAGACACGTGAAAAAGATAAAAGTGGGAAAAGTGAACTGGTAAGGAAACAGTCTCTGCGGCGCCAGGAGAAATGGGATTGTGAAAAGCGAACACCTAAAGTCATGAGGGTTTCGGAACCTATTCACATGATATAGAGTGGTGGTCATCTGACACCGCCCACCCTGTCCAAAGTAGCTCAATTGTTCACACGAAGAGGGATGGGCCCACAGCCCCCGAAAGGTATGACTGCTCTGCCCCAGAGCGACCATCTTGTATCCGAATCTTGCCCATGAGGCGTCGCCGGTGTCCAAGCGAGGTAGTTACCTTACGCCAACGTTGGCAGAGATAGAACAGCTGAATGTAACGGTGAAGCATGATGTACAGATTAACTCGGCCGGCGTTTGACCATTGTTCTTAAGGTCGACTTGACAGATTGTTCGAGAACAGACTGAGACTCAAAACGAATCGTTACCAAGCTGGAGGCATGGACAGGGCCACTGCCTTAACAACCAACTAGTTAGATGTAAGACTAAAAGACTCGGTCAAATCTCTTTATAACCAAACTTTCGGAAATGCTCAAGTTACTTTATTATCTTAAATAAATAAAAAAAGCAATAACAATCAAATCGAAGCTATGAAGGCCAAGATGATGTTCCCATCTAATGTGTTCTAATGTGATGCTAAGAATGCTTGGGCTCATTGACGATAGCGGCGAAACGTCTGGGCATGTGCCAAGTCCACGGTCCGATGCTGGAAATCACCACGGCTACTATAAACACCGGACAAGGTGAGCCCCTCCAGGTCCCTGTGACAATATGACCAAGTTGCGAAAACAAGAATAAACAATGAAATTGTAGAAAACGTGGTTTTAGAAGAAACCCTCGCCTTTGTGCTTGGTGAATTATCGTTAAGCATGGTGTCTCTCTCTTGCGATATCGGTCACATGACAGACGAAAGCTCAGCAGGAATTCATCTGGGCCGCAAAGCGGTGCGCCGAGGACCTATACGCACAAATCTACAACCATAGCTCCAAGGCAACCCCCTACATACTCCGATTGAACCAACTTATGAATCCCTTCAACTGGCTTCTTCAAACGAAATGAAAGGTACTCAGGAAACAAGACAATTGTTCGTTAGCTGAGATTCGACCTCTATCACATCAAGAAGGAAATGACTATTCCGACCCAAATGGTCTCACCACACTGACCAGATTGAGCTGAGTAAAGACATGTCTCATAACGAAATAAAAGCTGGGTTTCAAAAAGTCTCAATATAATTTTTATATGAAGATAGGAAGACCAAGATTATAGGTCCTCTGGTATGGTCGCAGTCTCCTTTCGATTTATAGAAGTGGGTTGAGGGATTGACTCCACTTGT